ATAGGTGGCTGCTTTTTCAATAGTTTTACTCATCCAATACTTCGAGTTAACAAAATACTCATTTGGAATAATCCGTAATCAAAAATCTTCCACTATATTTTTTGATATTGCAGATTGTAGCAGCGTACGGCTCTATAGCGGTGTGGTTAAATGCTGCACCAATTTTGGCTGAATGCGAGAGTGTCTTGAATACCGTAGCTGAAGTGGTGCAGTTAGGAGTCACAGGCACAAAGAAGAAAGATGTAGGTCTCGTTCAAATATTTTCGAGCTATGTTCTCACACTTTTTTGAACCATTTCCCTTACCTTCATTTGTTTTCTACATAATCGTTTCATTTAGTGTTCCCTCGAGGAATCTAAGGCGGCCAGCAAGCGTGTGCTAGATGCCGCGGAATATTTGATGTATTCGCTGTTTTCCATGGTGGTAAGGATGTTTTTTCTTTCAATATCGTTATCCACGATTTCCATAATTTCATTCTATATCCGATATCGAATTTTATATGTCGTTCAGGGCCGAAGTGGCCAAGCTATTTGTGACGAGCGTCGACTTCTGTACATGTACGGACCAGCCGCCATCGATACCACTAAGTTTCTGCATGTTTTGGTGAATGGAGATACATTATTGTCGTTGCACGAAGCATCTCACATAACAGCATTAGCTGATGGTAAGCTTTGAGCGTTTTTTAAATTTATTTGCATAGTAATTAGGCTATCTTGATCCTTTTTAGGATGTCCATGTGTCATATATGTGAGGCGATCGCCAATGCAGCCTGCTTCAGCCGGTGTAGCACGTCTTCGGCCGCATCCAGAAGGGTACCGGCCTGACCAGCAACCCCCTCCCACTCCAATGACAAGCACTTTTGAAAATGGTTTGTTTTTTAAAAGATTATGGGGGATTTTTGAAGTGGTTGAAATTGTGTACATATTTGCTGCTGTTTTTAGTGAAGAAAGATCTTGTCTCTTTGAAACCTTCGGATGCAGTATCGATGGTATCATCCTCTACAGGTATTGTTCCCTTTTATCCTTGTATCGTATTTTATTTTGTCCTAAATGGCCTTCCCTTTTCTTTCGTTTTTTT